TCCCTCCTACAGATCACACATCCGTGGGCGGGCTGGGAGACAGCTTTTATGAATATTTATTGAAAGCCTGGCTTATGTCAGACAAGATGGACACGGAGGCAAGGAAAATGTACGACGATGCAATTGAGGTGATTATAATTTATTGAGTTTTCCAATACAGTGAAACCCAAATAATTAAAAACCGTAATATTTAAAAATAAAAATCCAAACCACAGGACTTGTTTTGATTATGTAAGTTTTAAGAAATCAAGTGATGAATAATACTAGCTTTCACTCTGAGTAGTTTAAAAAGTATTCTTGTGGACTACATCTGATGCAGATTATTGCACTAAAAATAATCAGCTTGCCTGAAATGGTATGATATAAAAAAACCCAAGCTATAGTTTATTAGAAAAAGATCTAACAACCCAAAGATGTGTGCAGAATGGCCAAGTCATTTTTGTCCGGTGTTCAGAATCATTCTAGGATTTGAAGTCCTGAATTGTTTTATTCTTCAAATTATTTTCAAAATAATTTAGATGTTATATTCCATATTTATCTTGTAAAATGTTGTTTTCTTATTCCTTGCTCCATAATTCTTTTGTGACGGTCTTGCTTCCTCTCACAGATCAAGCAGTGCCCACCCAAACAGAGCAGCACTGCAGCGTGGTTCAGTGAGATTGTGAGTAGGGACCTTTCCTTGGTGGATCTGAGTTTTACGATGCCCAGCTCTTACTTTCTTAGTTTCTCATACACAGGCATCATCTTTTATTAGGCTCGCTTGCGCCCAGATAAGCCAGCGTGCCTGTGCTACGTTCAAGACACACAGAGAATAGCCAAGCTAGTTTAGTCAAGTTAGCTGCGGTACCAACAGCAGCGGGATGTGATGGTTATTCTAAGATGTAATTTCCTGATTTCTTCTCCGTATTCTCCTCTTCATCCAGCCAAGAGCTGTGTTTGCACTCTTGACCTTTGCCTCCCGCTGTCATCCACTTTCCAGTTGGTTTTACTCTGAAGCTGGTGACAGTCCTTTTGATTTACTGCTTTCCTACTACTCTGATGTACATTCCCAATTCCTTGATGTCTGACCTTGATGTGCTTATCTCTATGAAAACACAATTGTTAAGGCAAAACTTGTTTTGTCACCTGTTACGAATGATTTTACAGCACTGACTTTTCCTTTATCACTATCTGTAGCTCCATCAATTTTTGGGTCATCTGCAACATTTTTTTAGCTTTGTTTCTTGCAGATCATTAGTGGAAATGCTGCTTAGCATTAAATAGAAGTATCTGCAGAATCTTCCTTGGAAGAGGATCTTTCACAACTTTTTGGTTTACTTCAAACTGTTCTACAAAGCCAACTTTCAATCCACTTCTTTTGTGCTGCCTTAAATTTGTTTGGGACTGACATTTTGTAAAATACCAAGGAAATTCCTGAAATCCCTAATATTCCTAATATCAGCATGCATTTGTCAATCAAATACTCATTTTTGAAACCACATAGTTCATTTTATATGTTTGTTCTATTAACCTTTTAAAATACTGTTAAAGCATCAGCTATTTCCCAGTCCAATGAACTTCCTTAGCTTTCCAGGGTTTGTTAAAGTCAACATTAGTAGTTCAAAACATTAGTTGAGTACTTTTAATTGTCTAAAATACAGTTTGTTGGGTTCTGTGGGTTTAAGAATGTTTAGCAGTTGATGCTTAACATCCATTGTGGTTACTGTTGAAATATTTTATTCTGAATCCTAAACTGTGAGCACTTAAAAATTAAAGGAAGTAAACTTTCCCTTTCATCCTCTACACTGTAAGCCCAGTCTTGCAAACATTTTGTATGGGCAAATCTCTGTCTCTGAATGGAGACACAGCAAAGCAAATCTGGGACCAGATAAACACATTGTGCATAGGAGAAAGAGCTGAGCTGCTCCTGCTTCATGTGTGGTGTGACCTGCAGTGCAAACATCAGGTGGCTTCCTCTTTGGCTTTCTCTCAGTTAAACCCACCTGTGTACGTTCAAGTCTGCACGAACCGTACTGATTTATGCATTGAGGAACACCCTTCTGGTTAGGGTTTTTGTTTATCCCAGGTCCTACGTGACACTCAAAGACAGTGAGTAGGATTTGTTTTACATAATGGCATTTTGAATTTTTATTTAAAGTCTCAACATATTTTTAAGAGCCCAATCCCTTACCATTCTTTTGTTGTTGTCCATAACATGTTGTTATCCTCCATAGCTGACACACTTTGGTTTTCAAAACTTGGAGCAAAAGCTCTTTGCATCATTTATGCAAGCAGAAGGGGAAGGGTGTAAAAGACATTCTTCCCACTCAGTGCAGAGTTGGAAATGTTCTTGGCACCCACCAGTCTAAAAGAAGGTATCTGCCCAGCCACAGTTCACTCCCTTAGCTTGCTACAGGGGGGAGAGTGGAAGATAGGCAACCATACCCTCGCTCTAAAGTCTTGCAGTAGGCTGTGATATCCCATTCCTCGGAGGTACTAAGAGGAAGAAAGATGACGGCATCTTTCCTTTAGATGTCATGGTTTCCAATCCATGGCATATGAAGCCTTACCCAGGTCACCATATGCTTCATGACAAGAGTACGAACGAATTGTCTCCGTGACCTCTACGTGCTGCGTAACGTTGGTGCAGCCTTCCACCGTCAAGGACTGGATCTCCTAGCGTGTAGATTCACAGCTATGCTAAGAGCTGAAATTGTCAAACTTGTTGAGAATTTTTTGTGGTAAATACTGAGGGTGGGCCTCTTTAACTATGTTTTCAGCATCATCATGCGGACCTCCCAGCCAGTCTGGTTTAAAGTGTCTTTTCTCCTTCTCACGTTGGCTGGAGGATAGGGAAGATTCCTTTTGGTCTGTTGCCTTGAGTAGCCTTATCTGTTAGTCTCATGAATTTGATCCTCGCTCTTTGTTATTGCACAGCATCAGATACCTAAAAGAAGGAATCGGCACTGTGGTGGATTATCACAACATACCAAGTACTGCTGCAAGACAGCTCAGAAAATGCTATTTTCGTTAGTTGTAAAAATCACAGATAACATGAACATCAGATAGATGACATTCTGTTATCACATCTCGGGCTATTGTTTCAGGTCTTTCACAGGCTAAAGAAGTTTCTTCCATCAGTTGATCCCTTAACTAAGGGAGCTTTGGAACTTTTTTTTTTAGTCTTTGGGGCTATTGTTTCAGGTCTTTCACAGGCTAAAGAAGTTTCTTCCATCAGTTGATCCCTTAACTAAGTCGTGTCTTTGGGAGCTTCACGTCCACTCTACACTCCTCATGGTCCAGCTGGATGTCATTGCTCTATTGGACAGCTCTGTGGCCTCAGGCATCCAGCCCAGGATACAAATGTCACATCTGTCCCAACCTGCTCAAGCTTTTCTGGTCCACTAGGCAGTGCTCCCAGTAGTGCCCAGCTGTTCCTTGTTAATTACTGTAAATATTAGTTGTCCTTTTTATAGAGTTAGCGAGCAGCGGGTTGTTAAATGATGAAGGATTTTGAGAGGGCTGCTTTTATTTTCTTTTGGGGCGTTTTGTGACTCTTAAGATAGAACTTAATTATGAAGTAGCTAAAAGAACTTGATTTTCAGATTTCAAAAACTACCCCTTACACAAGACAATGATGTTCAAGTTCAGAAGATGTATTCTCTGTTCAGAAGAGTGGCACATTGCATCTAGATGATGATCTTCCATCAAACCCAGAAAGCAAGTCTAGAGTGAGGGAGTAGCTCATGGAAAAGTGTATAAATTTGCCCTTTGCTGGCTTTCCTGATGCCAACCACAGCGATTTTGTCCCCCTGGAAATCCTCTTGTAACTGTTTAATCCTCGGCAGTTATGAAATTACAAAAACATACAATTCAAAAGGGTATTCCACGCAACATTTGTAAAAAAAAATATGTCTTCCAGGAAATAAATAATCCAAACCCTTTTAAGCCTGCTTGCCCCTTAGAGTAAAAGTGGCTTTTCTTTCAGTTTTATGTGCCATATGGTCAAAAAAATCCTATAATCATCGTAATATCATTTTTGTCACAGTCTAGGATAATTGAATCAACAGAGCTAATGCTACAGATCCTAGCAGAATTTTCAGCAGATCCAGTCTTACCTATACTGCTACTTTCAGAACAAATGAGGCTTGTGCCATGAACCACATCAGGCTCCCCTGCAGCAAAGCCATAGTACCGTGCCAGTCCTCAGCGCCAATTTGCATGATTGTTCCACAACCACTCTGGCAGCTGTCGGAGTTTCCAGTTTCTGCTCTTTCACTTACGTCTCTGGTCTTCTCGCTGGATCCTGCCGTAAGCACCAACTTCAGATCTGTCAGTGGTATTAGCAAAGAAGTGAACCCAACAGCAATTTGGACCAGCAGTTCTCTTTCATTACCTTCAGAGTGCACAGGCTCAGTAGAGGACAGTGGAGAAATTTCAGCATCCAAATGATGGCTCAGTCCACAGTGCAGTAAGGAGCAGGGCCCTACTGACGATAATGCAGTCTCCTACCTGTAATCCGCTGCATTGCCTTTTAGCCAGAACCTTCACCTTGGCCATACTGGGGCTGCCAGGCCTTCGCTGGCTGCATGGCCTGGGTGTAGATTGACATCACTGTAACCATTCAGAAAAGATGCTGCAAGCACTGCAGCATCTCAGGTCAAGAACATATTCAGAAGACCACACAGATTCCCATGCATATTCAGAAACAACTACTTCAGGGTACCAGTGCTGAGATGAGGCTCCTAAGCGTACGAATTCTGCCTTTTGTAACCGTACTTTCAATAGTTTTGTTTTTAGGAAACATCTTTGGAAGGCTGTCAGATGCTATTTCAGTACCTGGGTGGAGGACTTCCATGTTATCAGATATTGCTGGCTTCAGCACAGCTGCTTTAACAATCCTGTATCACTTCAGCATCAGCTTATTAAAAAAAGTTAAACTGAAATACCTACTGCCGTCACAGAAAAGCTTGAAGCTTTTCATTTGTCTCTTTTGGTATAAACAAACGACAGCCTCACCTTTTTTATTCAGAGGGAGAAGCTATTTTGCTGTCCACTTTTACACCCGAATTACAAGTTGGGAACTGATTATGTATTTGTTGTTTGAATCTGTATTGCAGCGAACTGCAGAGTTTGCACTGTGTAGGTAGCAAGGAGATGACTGTGTGCAGTAGACACGACCTCCACGTCCACAGTAACTGCTTCGGTTAGATGCAGGATCCTCTGCCTGTGTGCCCTCAGTGTATCTATAGTGCAAAACCCAGTTGTGGACATCTGGGGTGTAATTTGTTGTAGGCACCAGAAAAGTAATGAGGAGGGGTAGTAATTCACTTCTGTAATGGATCTTATGGGTGACAAGGTGAGTAGTAAATACCTTTTTAATGGCACTTTAATCCTTCAACTCTCATCAGCCTCGGAATACTCTGACCAGTCACAGGTCATGCACTTTGAAGGAACCCATTAGACGGTTATGTGTGGAAGTACAATAGAGATTTCTGGAAAGAAGATAGGAATAATGTCTCCATGCTAAAGAAGATAATTGTCTTTATTAATCTAGGACTCAAACTGTAACGATGTTCTGGTTACAAGAAGAACAGTCTAATGCCAAAGATAGTAAGTACTGCAGTAGATTGGGATCCCAGTGGGAATTGGGAGCCTCTCTGAAAGAGGCTTAAATAAACGTGCTGCTCTGTGTAGTTGCAAACTTTGGAAAGCGAGGTCAGCTATTCTCCTTCCTACTACCAGAATACCCTTTATGAATTACAAGCAACAACTTATATTGGTAAAGATGCGCAAAGGAAAAGCAGCAGTTGCCTCACCTATAAAATAACGATGTTTTTTGTGAACAGCTGCTCCGACCCTCACCCTTCCTTTGGCCATGTGCAATCAGAAAGCTGCAGGGGAGAAGCAGCTGGAAGGTGGCTGGAGGGTTCCTGTCACTCCCTATGAAAGGCTGACTGAGAGTACAGGTGCTGCCTTTACGTATGCTGCTGGCCAAAGTATCCAGCGTGGATGTACACACAGCGTGTACAGCAGAACAGAGAGGTACTTCGCAGAGTTAGCAGGCTGACAGACGTGCCCTGAGACATAAAGTGTGTGCTGAATTCTGAGCTAAAAGTGCGATGTTACTCGTGTTGTGATTTTCCTATGGCTGATCTCATAGCAATGTTTAGCAGGGTATTTCTCTGTGTGCGTTGAAATTCTATTCTCACACCTGTTTGCTCCTGTAGTGCTCAGAAGTGGATTCAGCAGAAGAAGAAATTTTTCTTTTCAACACAGTATTTTATTCTTTGAAGAAGAATAGTGTGTAAACAGTATGTGAAACTTGCATGTGAAACAGTATTTGAAATTTCTCTTAATCTTCTTGTAGGCCATAGAAAAACATCTCATCAGAAAGTCCAATGGAGGACTGACGTTCATTGGGGAGTGGAAGAATGGGCACCTTGAAAGAAAGATGGGCCATTTGACCTGTTTTGCAGGGGGAATGTTTGCCCTTGGAGCAGATGGTTCCAGAGATGATAAAGCTGGACATTACTTGCAGCTTGGAGCTGAAATTGCACATACGTGTCACGAGTCATATGACAGGACAAGTAAGATACATTGCTAATCTATTTTTTTCACTAGTGGAAATACAGAAATTGTCATCACTTTTGTAAAGATTTGTTACGGACATGTGCCTTGTCTAACCTGCACTGGTTTTATACCAGTATAATTGTTTTAAAAGCCATATAGAATCGTAGAATCACAGGATAGTTTGGGTTGGAAGGGACCTTAAAGACCATCCAGTTCCAACCTCCCTGCCAAGGACCGGGCCACCTTCCACTAGACCAGGTTGCTCCAAGCCTCATCCAGCCTGGCCTTGGACACTTCCAGGGATGGGGCGTCCACAGCTTCTCTGGGCAACCTGTGCCAGTGCCTCCCCACCCTCTCCGGGAAGAATTTCTTCCTGATATCCAATCTAAACCTTCCCACTTTCAATTTAAAACTGTTACCCCTTGTCCTGTCACTACAGGCCCTCCTGATCTACATCATGGTGAGTAAATGTAAAACCAGATTTTATGTGGTTCCTTCCTGCATGTTTATCCTTATCTTTGTATCAGCCAGCTAAGGCAGGCTGTGAGGCTGCAGGGAGGAAGTAGTGCACACAAACTGTTGTCCTCACAGATACATAGGGCAGTTTTTAATTTCATATGTACTCTTCTTACAATGATGTAGGGTGAAAGATTTGAAAAAACGGTACACTAAAAAGTGTATTTAGTACTGGCGCATTCTAAATAAGTACAATTAAACTAGAGAGGATGTAGATTTGTGTGCAAATTGTGAGATGGCCACAGACCTGACTAGTGAGGAGGCAATGTCAGACTTTACTGTTGGGCTGGAAGTTTCTCAAGTCTTCTGGACCAGGATTATTTTACGTCTTTAACAGCGATGTTGATGCATGAAGTCAGTGTGTGCTGATTACACTTGCTGTGGCTGTGGAGTCAGAAGACACAATTAAAACAGAGGTGTCTCAGAGTTGTAGGCAGGAAGACCTTGAAGACTGGGCTGTCAGAAATAAGTTCACTAGAAAAAAAAGGTGGGAGCTCTTTCTCAAAACTGGGAGTTGAAAAATGCCAGTCTTTTTCTGGCATTTCTGGTCCTAGTCTGTATCAGGGGAAGAATTTTCAGTAGAGATTAGGGAATATTAACACTGCCTTAGAAAAGGCATGTAATTTATCATCCAGAATGTGCTGTAAAAATCAGAATTCCAAGCAGAATGAATGCAGAGAAGGACCAATAGAATGATTAGAGCAACAGAGCTTTTATCTCACAGTGGGAAAATGAGAGGTTGACCTGCCCAGACTAGAAAAATAATGCCTGAGAAAGGAATAAATTTGTTGTCATCTCAAGGGATAAACAGTGCAAAGAAATAGAGTTATTTTACGATATAAACAACACAGTTCTACCAAGAGCAAGTAAGCTCATCGTGAAAAATATTGGTTGGAAATTGGAAATGGCTTTGCTTAGCCATCAGAGGAGTGAGCTTCTGAAATAGCTCCCTGGTAGAAGTAATGGTAGCTAAAATGCAAAAAGAGTCTTTAAGATGAGATTTCATGTATTTATTCGCAGGATTACATAGTACAATTCTATAGTTGCCTGTAGGTTATAAAGACTTCAGTTTGATTGTCATGAGTGATAATTTTACCTGGGTAGCAACAGCATGGGTGGGAGGGGAGTTGGGGAGGAGGGGGGAACCAAAAAAAGGAAAAAATATGAGGATACTTACGGAAAAAGGTGGGACATAATAACTATTGTTACATTCTGAAAAAACCCACACATTGAAATTAAACATTTAAATGTTTAATTTGATACTTAAAAATAAGCAATGCTAAATTTACAGTTGTTTGTGCAGCAGTTCTAATTTTTTTCTTCAGATGTTTATTCTGTACCCCAAATAAGTCAAAAGATGGGGAGATAAAAGTTTTGGTTACATATTTTATGAGAACACACACATGAAGGGAACAGACTGAAAGTTGTACAGACAGCTTTGAATTTGCAATGTCCTGGTTTTCTTTTGTTCAGTCCTGCAATCTGAGTAGTGTGGATTTTGTTTGTTTGTTTGTTTGTTTAGGGTGGTTGGGTTTTTTTTCCCCTGGATTGATTTTGCAACGAAAATAAACATGTTATGTGCAAAATGTCAACTTCTTAATTATGCTTTAACAGCAGGATTTGAGACATAATTGTACACTTTAACGACAGAACTACCTGGTTGCAGCTAACGACTCTCTCAGAGGGCAGTCAGTCATCCTGGTTCAGGTGATGGGTTTATGTTTGAGAGAGGGGAGAGCCTGATCTCTCTCTCCGATAGACCTGGGAGAGCTCTCGCCCTCTTTGGTGTCCTCAGAGGAGGCAGCAAGGTGCTGAGGCTGTGTGCTGAGAATAGAACACGCTTTTCCTCAGATAAACCAGCCACAGCTGCGCTTTCCTGTGTCTTCCCAGCATTGCTTGTAATTAAACTGCAGTATATGCCTGGCTTTATAAGACTTTTGTATAAAAATTTTACTTTACCAAGCAACTTAAATTTCCATAAGGGCTGAGCATGAGGAAAAAAACGCTGTTTCAAGGTCCAGTCTCAGCGATATCAAATTGCACCCACATGTCTTTTAAATCCCTCCAGGAATGGTGACTTCCCTGGGCAGCCCATTCCAATGCCTGACAACCTGAAGTTATTACAAGCTACAGTGTAGAAAAGTTAATTTTTTAAGAAGCCTCGGTGATAGGTGCACAGATCCACAGGATTGGCTGGA